AAGGAAATCTTATGACTTGAACTAAATTTTTAGATATTTGCACCAAAATGATTTGTTTGCTTTGAAGGTTTACAAAAGTATTAGTCATCATGGTTACGTTATATAGAAAAAATTATGATCCATTCAACTGAGTCAGAAACATACACACATTTGGTTTTAAAGCCAAACTTAGTGAATAGCTTAACATTTGTATAAGCAACGGAGAAATTAAAAAGTATAAACTGAATACACATCGCCAAACGTACCCAGGGGTAGCTTCAGCTCACAGCCTTTAAGGCAGAGATAAAGAAAGGGTTCCTTTAAGATTGATTAGTAATAATAAGTGGAGGGTAATTAATAGGATTTCACGATTCTAATACATAAAATAATGATGAGGTGAAGTATTTCAAATATTCTATAAAAAATTCAAAATTATTAGTTAGATTCGTAGATCATCAGATCTTTTGGTAAGTCTCGATGTGGTATCAATGCACACTAACACGCCAGTTCAAGCAGGTATTCAAGCACCAGAACCCAGCTTAGATGGGCACCCATATGTGATCGAGGAAGTAAATTTGAGTAAAAGCGCAATCTTGAGATTACTTGATCCATGCATTAGTAGCGCATACTTCATCTTTGACATTAAGTTTTATGAACGGCTACAAGGCATGGCAATGGGATCCTGTTTGGCTCCCAGTTTAGCGAATAATTGCATGTCAAGAAGGGAGGAACGCTTCACGGAAGAGATAAGACTGACACCGAAACTGTTAATTAGAGATATGGTTGACTATTTTGCCAGATGGCTGCATGGTAGGGATAGTTTAGGCACTTTCTTGTTCTTAATTGACCAGACTAGTCGCAATGTTAAGCTGACAATGGGGATAGAGGAGCAGAATAATTAACCCTTTTAGGATAGTTTAGCGACCAGAGCAGAAGGCGAGCTAAGCAGAGATGTATATGGGAAGCCAAAATACACTGGCTTTATCCTTAATTTCTTCTTCAACTATAATCACTAAGCAAAGGTTGGTATTTTCAAATCTGCTATTATACGGAGCATAGGACATTGTGATAATGGACTGAATCGATTTAGACTAATATTACTTGAGATTGATGGGCTTAATGAAAATAACATAAGATTAATGAAAGATCCTTTTTTAATTTTAAATAGGTAAGAAGAACTAAAAAGATGAAGACACTTGTCCATTTTTCGTCGTTGCCTTTATGCATTCTATCTAAAAGAACTAGAGTGGAATAAAGACAGTTTTGCATATTGACGTCAGAACGCATACACGCACACATACAGACGATCGAAAAAAAGCAGCGGGAGCATATGAAAGATAAATAGCCAAAGCATTCTATATCTATCTGGACCTTTTTATTTTCGTGTTTAGTTACGAGTATATACAAGAGGTAAAATAAAACCGGATAGTCTTCTTGCCCTAGTGTTAATGTGAGACTTTTACAGGAATGAGACCAAGCTCTGATGATGTCGATCATATGATGGACGAAAGCTCAGCCAGTTTTCACCCGAAACGAGGGAGGTCTCGTGAACTGCGTCAACCAGAACGTCGTATAAAAGCCAAACGCCTGCAGTACAACGGGATTCATTCATCCTCTTCTAGTGAAATCGACCTACGAATCTCTTCTTCATGCACTTTCATACGAAAGGAAAGACTCGCTATCAATTTCAGTTTTTTAATCGAAGGTATGAAGATCAAGACGGTGTGACCTTTTGTGTGGTTGCAGTCTCCTTTCGTTGGGTACTGCCTGTTTTGATTAGGTTCAATGTTGCATAACAACGTTTGTGGGTTGGTAGACAAGAGACTATAGCATAGGAAGTCATCGATTTGTTATTACGGATAGAAACAGGGTAGATGTGGCGGACACTGGAGCTTGTTGGCTGACAGTAGGTCTGTTGTACCATAGACATGGTACAGGGTGGAAAGGGTCGAGTGAAATACTTGAACCAGGGAAAAAGCAGACGGATCTTACGGGGCAAGAGAGAGACTGCGATTAGACCTAGTGAAGGAGGACAGCATAACAATATGGCAGACTGTGATCAACATTCCTAGCACAAGGATGAAGAGGGTGAGTACGACAGCGTAGAGTGTGAAGGGTTTTCACGAATGCCGCTAAAAGGAGAACACCACACTTCATC